TCTCTCTCTCTCTCTCTCTCTCTCTCTCTCTCTCTCTTCTTCTCTCTCTCTTTCCTTCTTTTCTCTGTTTGCCTCCTCAATCAACCTCACTCATTTTCTGTTCACACTCATTCAAAGATGCTGATGTGTACACACACAAAAGCCTGTTACTTAATGCCCCAACCCAAATGACAAAACTGGCCAAATGTAACCATTATTAATATGACAATTTGGCATAGACCACTTCTCAAAAGTAACAGAATCAAAAAGTTACTTTGACGCAACAATAGAGATTACTGAATAAAAAATGTGGTCTTTAGATTTTACCTTTAATTAGTGGGTTTTTTTATCTTCAGTTGTTTATCAAGGTAGGCCTTGTTAAGCTCTGTGTAGCTTCTTATTTAAGTCCTTTTGGTTTGTATCTTTTAGCAAACTTTCACTACCCCCCGGGGCAGTGCCACTGACTGTAGTGTCTTTAGGCCATTCCCAAAGGGGTCGACATTTCTCGTTCAAGCACTGTAGAATTGTAAATGGGCTGATTCATCATTTCACACTCATAACTATGCCTGATCTGCAACAGGGAGCTGCTGCTTTTTCTTTCCTAATCCTTACTATTGTCATTTCCTCTACTTCTTTTGTATGTTTACCACACTCTTGTGACCCGCTATTTCCGGGGTGCCCTGATAGTCGAAGCAGACTTTGTGCTGTTGAAGCTAGAGAGGTAAGCAGAGTAAGTCTGATACCCTGTAAGGAATTCTCTGTTGACACCCACCCCTTGGCGCTCATATAACCTTGTGCTGTTGCGAGCGCCGTAAAACCCTCTGCTAAAAAAAAAAAAAAAAACTTTCTCAAGATTTGTTTTCTTACGACTTTTCAATCTGTCCTTCTCCTCAGCCCCTGGGTTGTGTGGCATCGTGGGAGGAAGACCGAGCATGTAAGTATTTTTTTTCTCCTTCTCCTCGTTCTTTTTCTTTCATTTTCGGCTTTCACTCTGTTCCCTCCTGCTTTCTTTTCCCTCTTCTTCTTGATCGTATTCGTCTCTCGCAATGAGCTCTCTCTGATTGCCTGTCCACAGTGTCTCCCTCACACTCCATCTCAAACTGCAGGCTACCATTCTCTTGCTCACTGTATGCATACACATATCACTTCAAAATTTTCAGAGTGGGGGGGTCGGCTGTTTTTGAATCAATAAAGTTGTCTTATTTTTTTAAATTCAAAAGTATGTCTGGCCTTATTTAAAGTAAAAAACATTGTTCATTTTCCTCTCCCAGATCCCCAGTACTGAGGCTGTTTTCCTTCCTGTACCCAAGGGACAATTTCAAGGTATCTGTGTCGTGTCTGAAGATAACGTAGAATTTGTTTTTAATCAGTTATTCATCCTATTTAGTCTATCAATTGTTTCTCAGAACTGGAAAGAAAACAAAATTTGTTCTTTCATTCCGCCATCTGAATTTCTACCATAGACTTGTTTCAGCCAAGTATGGGTTGTATACATTGTTACTTTTCCTGAGAGAGGCAAAGAAATTTCTTTCAGAACTGGCTGCTTCATTGAAGTTACGGGTGACATTTTTGTATAATGCGTTTAAAAAATATATATATTTGTCATTACACAGTGGAGTCACACGCTCTTCAATTTTTGGGCATGTGGAGTTATTGATATCATCTGAAGGCTTATTCATTTTTGCTTGCTTCAATGAAAAAAATTTCCTCCTATCTTGAATAGAAGTCAGTATGTTTGTGATTGAAGTAGGTGAGGTTGCCCATTTTCAGTGGTAAAATTACTGTAGCGAGAAAATGGCTGCCAAAGTTTGGTAACTTCAATAGCTTGAGAGTCGTTGAAAATGTATATTTTATGCCTTTACTTTAACTTTTTTCAGGAAGATTAACGTGGAGATGTGCATCACGGTGCCTCACATATACTCATAACAAGTAAATGAAAAACGAGAAATCAGTTCTGAGACCCGTATTAACCCTATCCGTATGTCGTGTTTTGCTATCGTATTCATACGACGCTGGGAACTCTGTGCCACCACTTTCCAAAGAGGAAATTTACTCGTTAATCCAATCTGTACGCTTTGCATAGCTGTCTGTCAAAATGATTTTTTGAGAAATACTGAAAGTTTCCAAGACATCTTCGCACTAGAAGTATTCTAAAATGTGAAGAATACTCCAACCCCGGGGGGTACAAAATTACCCCAGGGCGTACAGATTGGGTTAACTAACAACCGAGTGTTGGTTTTCGACAGATCACGATCGAGATGAACGACGAGGTGGTGGAGTACCAGCAGCCCGAGGTCCCGACCGTCGAGTACACGCGCCAGGCGTACCCGGCCAGCGACAGCAACGGCAACGGCCCGAACCCGCTGGTCAACGACATTGACCTTCCCGGGGGTGACAGGAGCTACAGGCTGGAGGAACTGGCCTATACCCGCTCGGGGGACAAAGGGGACACCTGCAATATAGGTTAGTTTAGTTTTAGTAGAGGTTTTTACGGCGCTCACAACTGCATAAGGTCATATGAGCGCCAAGGGGTGGATGTCCAAGGGGTGGATGTCAACAGAGATGTCCTTACAGGGAATCAGACTTATTATGCTCACCTCTCTAGCCTCAACAGCACAAAGTCTGCTTCGACTATCCAGGCACCCTGGAAATAGCGGGTCATAAGAGTGTGACAAACATACAAAAAAAGTAGAGGAAGTGACGATAGTAAGGATTAGGAAAGAAAAAGAGGCAGTTCCCTGTTATAGTTCAGGCACAGTTATGAGCATGACATTGTTGGATCAGCCCATTTGCAATTCTACTGTGCACTAGAGCAAGAAATGTCCCCCCTTTGGGAATAGCCTAAAGACACTTCAGTCTGTGGCACCGCCCCGGGGGGGGGGGGGGGGGTTATATATATATACAAATGTAGAATTAGATATAGAGTGAGATGTAGGTAAATATGAAGAGAGACACAGAGAGAGAGAGACTCACAGAGTGAGAGAAAAAAAAATTATTTTGTACCTAGAGGGGAGATCTTTTGCTGCACCTGCTTGGGGGACACCTGCGCTATTGGTTAATTATATATGTGTTTATCGATGTAGGTATAGATATAGAGTGCTGATATGGATAGATGGTGAGAGAGGGAGGGAGAGTGAGAGAGACAGAGAGAGAAAGAATTATATTATACAGGCTGGAGGATCTGGCCTACTTCCGCTCAGGGGACAAATGGTACACCTGCAATATTGGTTAGTTATATATATATATATTGATGTAGATGTAGATATAGAGTGCTGATACAGATAGATATATGGATAGATGGTGAGAGAGAGAGAGAGAGAGAAAAATAATTATAATATACAGAAAGGGAGAGATCTTTTGCTGCACGTACTTGGGGGACAAAGGGGACACCTGCAATATTGGTGAGATATATATATATGTATATGTGTCCCAACCTGGAGATATATATATATGTACATGTGTCACAACGTGGAGATATATATATATATATGTATATGTGTTACAACGTGGAGATATATATATGTGTATATGTGTCACAACGTGGAGATATATATATGTGTATATGTGTCACAACGTGGAGATATATATATGTGTATATGTGTCACAACGTGGAGATATATATATATATGTATATGTGTCACAACGTGGAGATATATATATATATGTATATGTGTCACAACGTGAAGATATATATATATGTATATGTGTCACAACGTGGAGATATATATATATGTATATGTGTCACAACGTGGTGGAATCAGGTTCTCATCAATTTTTGGGCATATGGAGTTATTGGTATCATCTTAAAAAGCCTGTCCATCTACCTTGCTTTCAATGAAAAAAATATCCATTTATCTTGGATGCAAGTCAAGATATTGGTGACTGAAGGAGGTGGGTGTTGCCTGGTTTCAGAGGTCAAATTAGCGAGAAATGGCCGCTAAAGTTTAGTTATTCCCTAAGATTGAGAGTCCGTGAAAACCTAAAATTGACATTTTTATGCAATTAATCGTTTTCCAATAAAATTCACACAGAAATGTGTTCTTTAATGAGCATGAAAGGTGTTGAGCAAAAAAACAAAAATTTCACTTTTCTTTTGTTTCATTATTTTGACGAGCGCCTGATTTCACCACGCTGCCTCACATATAGATGTAGAAAATGAAATAGATGAATAGATAAATGGTGAGAGAGAGAGAGAGAGAGAGAAAGAGAGAGAGAGAGAGAGAATTACATGTCTATTATTTAGAGAGGGGAGGTCTTTTGCTACACCCGCTGGATGGACAAAGGGGACACCTGCTATTGGTGAGATATATAGGTGTAGTTATAGATATACACTGGGTGCTGATGTAGATAGATTTATAGAAGATAGATATGTCATATAGAGAGATATACAGATAGATGTACATACGTTTTTATACAGATGTTTATGATTGTGTGGATCATTGAATATAATATGTGTGAATGTTTATGATTGTGTGGATCATTGAATATAATATGTGTGAATGTTTTTGATTGTGTGGATCATTGAATATTATAATATGTGTGAAAGTTTTTGATTGTGTGGGTCATTGAATATAATATGTGTGAATATTTTTGATAGCATTTATGTTTTATGTGAGTGTGTTTGATAGTGTTAAGAATATGTGTGCATCTGGACAGCTGACCCTTGGGGCAGGTTTCTCTGCCTTTATATGAATAGGCCTGTATGTGTGTTTATATGTAAATCTGTATTTGGGTGCAAATGTGTGAGGTAATTTATGTCTGTGAGTGAGGATGTAAATGTGTTGGTGAGTGAATGTTTTATATATGTTATGAATGTTATGGAGAGGTATGTGTGTGTATGTGCGTGCGTGCATGCGTGCTTGCGCGTGTGTGAATGTTACTGCCAGTTTCCCTCTTTCTTCCCCATTTATTTGCACAAACTGTCCTATCCGTTGGTGGTTGGTGGGTGCTCTGGTGTGGTTTGCTTCTTCTTTCCTATCAAACATCTATCGTCCTTATCTCCCCTCCTTCTTTTTTGTATTTGTTACTCTCTTGTAACACTTTTAATCTTCTGGCACTCATATGACCTTATGCAGTTGCGAGCGCCTTAAAACCTCTACCAAAACGATATTGTCTTCTCCTCGTCGCAGGTGTGGTAGCCCGCCACCCGGTGTTCTTGCCATTCATCCGCAAGCAGCTCACGGCAGAGGCAGTCGAGAAGTATTTCGAAGACAATTTTAGAGGGAGCCCTGCCAATGTCACCAACAAAGTTCAAAGGTAAACGGTTGTTGTCGGCGAGTGATATAGAGGTTGTAGTGTTGTTGTTGTTGGTGGTGTGAGGGGTGTATTTCCATCTGTGTGTTTGTTGGTGTGTATGTGGGTGTGACAAGATAATTGCTTTCCTTTTGTCATATTTTCCAATTCGAAGCCCATGTATGAGCAGAATAAGCAAGTAAAACAATTCAAGTCCTTATAATGACGGGGTTTCAATTCCATGACACATAATTTTGAGAAAATGAGATTCGAAGATTCACACTCTTATATATAGTTTAAAATGTTATTACACTTGTTTGTTAAGGCAAAAACAGCACCTGGATATGGATTGCTGGTGCCTCTATAAATAAATTATTGATGGTCGACTTATTTGTTTAGTGTCAAACTGAAAGAAAAAGGTCAGATTGTCTAGGGATTTTGACACAGCATGCTGATCATCTGTGTCCGTAATGTGTAACGTCTAACTCGGTTCTCGAAAAAAGTGGAGCTAGAACCCTGTCATTCTAAGGACGTATGTGAATCATACACTCTTTACAGTTTCACAGTGTTTCATATATGCCCACCTTTAAAGACCAGAAGAGTATTATTCATTTATTTAATCATTTAAGATAAGATAGGTAAGATAAATCTTTATTGTTCAGATCCTGGTACATTATACATTTGTGTATAAAAAAAAGTTTGTGTTATATGTATATATGTGTGCGGGTGTGCTTTTGTCAGTCAGGTGTAGACACCACTTTATTTATGCTTCAATATATGTGACTGTGTTGGATGTTTGAACACATTTCCAGGTATGATGTGCCTGGGGTTGGCGGTCTCAACTTTGTCCTGAAACACTCGCTGGGCGGAGGCGGCATCGCTTCACTGCGCACAGATCCACAGGTGAGGTGGTGCTTTCTCTGTAAAAAGCCACATACAAGCTTGCACACGCAAGCACACACTCAGACACACACTCACACACACACATGTAAGCACACACATACAAACAAAAAACGGGGATTTTAAAAATCCGTCATTACCGGATCCCTGTTATTACCGGGCCTGTTATACATGGTTTCCTCTGTATTTTGTGGATCTGAAGTTAAAGTCCATAAGCAAGTATTCCTTCTTCCTTTGGTGAGTCTAATAGATGTGGTAAATGTGAAGCTGTCTGCGTAACTATCACTTCCATTTTATTTGTAATCACTGATGTGTTTGTAATTTACTCTTTCTTTATGTCTCTGCAGGGCAAAGGAATGGGTCAGGAATTGCTCAACTTCAAAATCACGAATGTTCCGGACTTGAAGAGACTGGCGGAGGAAGCGGTCACTCAGAGTTAATGCTGACCGCTGGATTAGTTGTCGGTTGTACACCATCATCCGGATTAAAATGGTTGTGTGTTTGTTATTGCTACAAAGATGTCAATTACAATTTTGATATAGTGTGTTTCTAGGAATTATGATTGTTTGTTCTGAGATTGCAAGGTTAGAGGTATATGGTTTCTGTTAATACGATGTCGCCTTTTTTAAGATGTACAACGTGTTTATTTTACGTTAACAACATCTGTTGGGAATTTGACAGCAACGTGTTTTGTTTTTTTGTACATTGACACTTGTTGAGAATTTGACAGCAAAATTGTACGTTAACAACATCTGTTGGGAATTTGACAGCAACGTGCTTTGTTTTTTTTGTACATTGACACTTGTTGAGAATTTGACAGCGAAATGGGTTGGTTTTTATTGTACGTTAACAACACTTGTTGAGAATTTGACAGCAAAGTGGTGTTGGGTTTTTTGGTAAGTTGACCAAACAATTGTTGAGAATTTGACAGCAACATGTTTTTTTGTACATTGACTTATTCTTAAAATTCATAACATCAACATGTTTATAGGTACATCGACGTCTGCTTAGCTTATGGCATTATTTTGTTTATCTGTACTCTGGCAAGGCTATTGTCTTTCTTTCCTAAGCCTGCCGACGGTATACGCCCGGGTGGCGTAAACAGATTCTTGTTGACCCGCTCAAGTGGTGAAGTTGTTATATATATATTATTTTCTAGGCCTTTTTCAGGCCTGATGTGTGTGTGTATGTGTCTGTCTGTCAGATAAACATGTCTTGTGTTGCTCAGAATGAAGAGTTATATTTTCCTCCAAGTGTTATATATATATATATATTTGTGTGAATCAAAATCTTTCCCGTTTTTGTAAGGTTGGCATTGTTCATTTTCCTCTCTGAAAATGTTTTTCCAAGTTTTCATAGTAATGGAAAAGTAGAAAGTTTCAATTTTGGGAACATATGAAAGAGATTTGTGGATTTTTTCATACTTGTCAAAGATTTATTCGTATGTTTACTATTTTTGTTGAAACAATAGCCCATGGGTAGCAAACTCTTTATCAAGAGTTTTGTAAGTTTTGTCAGTATTGAATTCATCTCAGGGATGGCCAATGTATTTAATTTTAGCTGCTTTTGTACACTATGGCATCTATGGCCTATTAGTTAGTCTACTAGTCTACTGGACTCGTGGTTGTAAGGCTGTGGGTTTTATTCCTGGCTGCAGGCACTATTTAATTTTCTGTCTTGCCACTGCAGTTTAACCCATTGACTGCCAGACCTGCTCCTCAGTGCAATCAAAGAGCTCAAGGGCCTGGCATTGAAGGAGTTAATTCTGTGCGGAATTTTCAGAACATTCCCGGTCTAACAGTGTTTGCCCCACCGTCATTTGTCACGAGCTCACGTTTTGTTTGTTGTTTACTTCAAGACAACAGATTTGTACATCATCTGGGAGGCATCGATGTTTTGTTGAAAACCATCCTTTTTATTGGCAGACATTATGAAGCTTTTTCACTGTCCAAGCGAGGCGCATGCTACCTTAGTGGCGTGGGTGGCCTAGTGGTTAGGCTAACGGACTCGTAATCTTGAGGTTGTGGGTTCGGGGGTTCGAGCCACGGGCCCTACGTTGTGTCCTTAGGAAAGGCACTTTACGCGAATTCTCCTCATTTGAGAATGGGTACCCGGCCATAGACAGTGAAAGGTCTTGTTAGTGTTTTAGCCCCTATAAATGGCCGCTCTCAATGCATACTTCCCAGGAAGTTGAGGTTGTTTCAGAGTGCTCTCAGGTCTGCTGGGGTAATAGTATAGATTGTGAAGCGCACAGAGCTTACTGTTGAGTGGGGACTTGTGCCATACAAATGCTATCTATTATTATTTTATTCGAGCATTGTGGAAACATTGTGGTTTAGAAACAGACGTGGAGCTAGTAATTTTGCCTTGTTATTTAATCCAAATACTTTGTCCTTCTAATAGTACGTTATTTTTTTAGATGTGTTTGCCACACATGACTATCGATCATGAACATTTTATGTATTTTTGTATTGCTTATAAAGGATTACTGTTGTTTATCTCACTGTCAGAGGTAGAAATATTTTCTTAAGAATTGTTGGGGGGTTTTTTTTCTTTCGTTACGGTATTAAGGTATTTAAAGTTGACATGCTCAGGGCCTGAGGAATGATTTACGGTTGTCCAACTTCATTTCTCGAGGTTTTCTTTGTTGTTAAAAGTTCTAATGAAGTGCGCTAATGCTGACTTTACTTGTTATTTTTCTAAATCTGCTAAAGCTTGGAATCTTGTTTTCTCAGAATATTATAATATAAATTTATAGACAATAGGTAAGGATTGTCTAATGGCTTGACAAATGAGTTCCGTATTTTGAATAGGTTGTAAAATTCACTGTTCTGTCGTCATAGTCAAGTTCAAGTTCGTCACTCAAAACGGAAAGATTGATTCTTGAATGATTTCTAGATTTTCCCAAAGATATTTCTGGTTGTTGCACATTTATTTTTTGTACTTGTTGGCTCAATATGGGCAAGTCAGAATTTACATTCTAATGAGATTTCATTTGGAGAGTGCGCAATACAGGCCATGAATGTAGTAGTATAAAGATTTTGTTGTATATGTTTACAGCACAGTTTGTTTCTTTTAAATTGAACCCATCTATATTTGAATTCATTTGAGGTTTTTTGTTTACATTTCCCAAAGTAACTCTGCTTTGGATTGTTTCCATTTTCAAAATTGATTTTGAAAATTTCTATGGCTATTTGTACAACTCAGGTGACTTAGTAGATATTGGACACAATGCACAGAAGATTGTATTTTGGCAAATGAAATGTTCTATATATAATTTACAGTAGGTGTGTATTGCTGGTAGGTAGCAGGTCCATGTCATTGCAGGTCAAAGTTCATAGTGTGAAAGAAATGTCTGGGCCTTGACCTCATTCACAAAGAGGTTTGATGTGATCTATGTTCAAGTGTGTCTCTGACCTTGAACTGTCATCATGTTATTTGAGATATGTTAAACCCAAAAGTATTGTTTTATGAAGTCATACTGGCCTAATGAAAACCTGGGAAATAGGTCAATCAAAGCAAAACTTCTCCTCAATTCTCTTACAGAGTTCTGTATGAAATCTTTGTCCCATGGTCTATTATTGTCTCTCTCTATTTATGTAAACAATTTTACAAGATCGCCCATTCTGTTGGGTTTTTTTTTTTTTATTATGAAGAAAGTTTTATGACCACAGGTATCATGGGTCATTTTCAGGTCAGACCCAAAAACACTTTTTTTAATTAATATTATTCAACACGAATTTGTCTCCTTTTGAAAAAAGAAAAAACAAAGTGGATATATATGTTGTGTTTGTTGAAAATGTGGGATCTCATCAACTTGGATTTCAGCATATTTCAAAAATCAGCTCTAAGCCTGACATCGTGTTTACTGCAAAAATAAAGTTACTTTTGTCTATTCAGTAAATAGGTGAATTATAATAGAAACTGTCTTTATTCTCAAAATGGATGTGTCGCATTTTGTCTCAGAACTGTTCCGATACTATGTATGTCTGTTTTAACCAGAAAATGTTTGTTGTTCGCCCTTGGTATTATTTACCCTTTGTTATTGAACCTGTCAAACTCTGTGGTTCCCATTTTACTTTTAAAATTTACCTTTTATTTTTTAAAGAATATATTGTGATAATGATCTTCTCAGCTCGTGAAAGGCAGTCTAAATCATACATTATTGAAATAGGAAAAAGTTTTAGGGACGTATCAAAGCTTTTCTCTAAATTGACTTCTTTCAAGATCTCCTCCCTGCTGTTTTCTTTGAGAGGGGTGGAAAGTAATGTAGAGGAAAGAAAAAAAGATTGTTGCCCTATAGTGTCCATTATCATTATAGTGAGTTTGTGAAGACTATTTGTTCAGCTGCTAGCACTGACTAGAGCTAAGGACAGTTTAGCTCCGCCCCAGTACAGACAGTTTGTTCTTTTAGTGCTACTGACCAGAGCTGAGGGAAAGAAATTTTGTTGAGCTTTGTACTTTCGTTCGGAAAACTTTTTTTTTAACCTGCTGCTCTTTTTACTTCAGAACTTTTTGCTGTTGAAATTCCACAATCAAGCTATGCATATATTTTGTTGGCCTTCATCTTTTTTTTTCTTGTTTGCATATACAGTGCCTGAGTATGAGATTAATACTTGCTGTATTTCGCTCGTGTTGTCAGCCTTGTTTTTGTCAAACCAAAGTGATACATTTTGAAGTCTGGGCATCCTGTGTTTGTGCCTGACTTTTTGGCAAACTCACGGGCATTTCTTCCAGTTTTTGTTACTATTTTTTACTTTTGTGTTATTTTTTGTTGTGATTACTTCTCTGCATCAATTATACAGGTCTATTTCCTGTGCCAGACATCTTGGGTGTTTTCTGGTTGATAGTATATTTAGACTAAGTTTTCATTAGCCAATATGATTCACCTTTTGACAAACACCGAAAAATTATTTAACTTGCTGCTTTCTTTTCCTTGAATTTTAACATCATTCAGTCCTCGACTTAGGTAATTTTATGTTACTTTTGCAATTTCGTTAGTCCTGTTTGTTTATCAAAAATCGCTCAAGTGGATTATGATCCTACTGTCTGAAAAGAAACAAAGTGCAAGTCAAAGGATTTGTTTCGCTCTCTGTTCATTGTTTTCGACAGACAAAGAGGGAGACTCTACTAAACTGAGAGTGACTTGTTGATGTTTTGAAGAATTCCATTACACAATCTTTTGTTGTTGTTGATGTTGTTGTTGATGCCATTATTCTTAAGTTTGCATACCAATGCTGTGTGTTACATGTATTTATTCCTCTCTCGAAAAAGCTTTAGTTTTACTATATCCATCTTTTATGCTTTATATCCCAGCTAGGCTGCGTCTGGGGCGAGGGGGCATAGTTGGAGCTAAAAATACATCTTCTTAACTAAATCAAGAGTTAAACTTGTGTGTATTTGAAAAAGAGAAACTATTTGCACAATTTTCATTTGATTTTTTATAGTCGTTAGCCAATTTACTTTTCAATTTTTTAACGGTTGGTTAGACATGCTCCATTTTGCAGAATCTAATATTTATTTTCCTGCAGGTGGTATGTGTGCAGGTTTTCTAACTTTCAACTCTTGTTCATTGATACTCTACGGTCAAGCTAGTGTAGATGATATCAGTCAGCACTTTTAATGGGTTCTCGGTTTAGCTCTATTTTCTGCCACTCCTTTGAATGTGATGGCAACCCATTCCTCAGTCACTTCGACATTGGGACCTGCTCCTTTTTTATGATCACTTATTTACTGTACAGACGTGACTGCTTTGTCTTAATTCTGGTTACAATTTGTTAGAAGTTACATGTAGTGATAATTTTATCTTGACCAAGCTTCGAATGGACAATGGAGACAAGATGAAATGGCAAGATTTGAGAAATGCAATCATTCATTCGGTTTCTTTAGCTTTGAATGCAGTGAATAATGTTTACTTTTGATTTGCTTTCACTCTGTGGTTCAAGCTGTCTACTTTTTTTAACAAAAGAGATTGGCGCTCATATGACCTTATGCAGTGGCAAGTGCCATAAAATCTCTACTAAAAAAAAACAACTAAAGAAAAACAAAAGGGTTTTACTATTGTCTATCAGTATCAGCTTGTGAAGCTGCAAACAGTCATAATATATAGTTGTAACTTTTTTGGTCACCTAAGTACTTTTGAAGAGGAACTGGTGTACGTGTATTTAGTTGTGCAAACATTATAGTGCATTACACATAACCAGTCAAAATATTTGTTGTTGAAAATAAAGAACTAAGTTAAAAAAATAAATTGATGCCAACAAAAACTACCGTGTTCCTGTTGTTTTTTTCTTATGTTGTCATGTTGTTGGCTGGTCTTCATCTCTTTTCTTTTTTTTTGTGTGGGGAAAGGGGGGGAAGAGTTGGTTGATCTTTAGGGTACATCTATGAACGGTGACAGCAATTGGTTTTATTTGCCTTTCAGAGATAAACAATGTAGCCTACATTTCTTGTATTTAGTACAAGAAAAAGCCAATGGCAAAGGGAAAGTGAGTTTATGTCAAAAGTTGTGGGTTTTGGTCCAGGGTGGCACAATATAATATTTAGGCTAATATAGGGCCTACAAAAATTTGCAACCTTTTTTTTTTTTTTTTTTAAACATATTTTCCGCATACATCATGTACATGATCCAAATCGAAGGTGGCTATAATCGTATCCAGTACTGAAAGGCCTTATCTACACCTTCATATTTGAAACACATATTTAATATTGTTGTTAAGTGGTAGCTAGAAATGGAGGAGTGATTTTCTTAAATTTAAGCTGACACGAACTGAGAAAACTGATATGTAGGAACAATTTCCAACAGATACCTGCGAACATCATGTGGCTATTCAACAAACTGAAAAAGGACGGAATTTTAAATTGAGTAGGGGAAAAATGACTTTAGAGTTTGAGTAAAGAGAAATACATGAATTCAATCATGGTGATTTAGTGGAGGAGGACAAAGACGCATAGAAACAGCAGAGAGAAAGGGTCTTGTGAGGTGGAGGAGGAGGAAGCACAGAAGAGAAATGTACGTACGAGAATATACTGTACTTCCATGATCTTTTCCATGCGTGCCAGGGCGTTTGGTAATGCGCGAGTCGTATAGACCTATTGCCTGACCCCTACAGTAGCAAACCAAACATTAAATTAAATTGTTTTATACCTACAATGAGAAATTATCTAGATCTAGTAGTATACATGTGCACTTCAATATATTGAAACTTGATCTTTCATTTTCTTCTACGTCCTTTTTTTCGTGCTGGGTTTTTATTGGAGGGGGGGGGG